GGGATGGGCTGCAGGAGCTCGCCGTCGTCTGCCTGGGGGGGCTGCACGTGCTCCAGGTGGGAAAATCCCCAATTCCCAACATTGGGGGGGAAAATTCGGAGCTTTCCCAAAAAAATTCGGAGCTTTCCCAAAAAATTCGGAGCTTTTAGAAAAAAAAACGGAGTTTTTAGCCAAAAAAATGGAGTTTTTACCCCAAAAAACGGAATTTTTAGCCCAAAAAAAACGGAGTTTTCCCCAAAATATTCTGATTTTCCCCAAAAATTCACAAGGAATTCTGAGTCTTGCCCAAAAATCGGGAATTTTTCCCAAAAAATTCATCCTAAATTCACCAAAAATTCTCCAAAAAATCCCCCTAAGTCACCAAAAATAAAGAAAATAATCCCAAATTCACAGAATTTCCAAATTTTCCCTCAAATCCACAAAAATTTCCCACAAATTCATAAAATTTCCCAAAATTTACCCCAAAAATCCCCCAATTCCCCCCAAATCCCCAAAATTCACCCTGAAATCCCCAAAATTTCCCAAATTTCCCCCCAAATTCCTCTGTTTTTCCCCAAATCCTGAAAAATTCACCCCAAATTTCCCCCAAATCCCCAAAAATCCCCCCAAATTATCCCAAAATTTCCAAAACTCACCAAAAAATCCCAAAAATCCCAATTTTTTTCCCCAAAATTCACTAAAAAATCCCCAAATCCAGAAAATTCCACCAAATAATCCCAAAATTCCCCAAAATTCCCCAAAATCCCAAAACCTCACCCAAAAATCCCAATTTTTCCCCCCAAAATTCACTAAAAAACCCCTAAATCCAGAAAATTCTGCCGAATAATCCCAAAATTCCCCAAAACTTCCCCAAAATTCCCGAAATTCCCGAATTTCTCCCCAGCACAGCCTGGAGCCGACGGCGCGGCTGCTCCGGGAGCGGCTGCGGAGGGAGGTGCAGCAAAAACGGGGCAAAAAACCGGAAAAACGGGAAAAAACGCCGGAAAAACGGGAAAAAACGCTGGAAAAACGGGAAAAAACGCCGGAAAAACGGGAAAAAAATCCAGAAAAACGAGAAAAAACGCCGGAAAATTGGGGGGAAACCGTGGAAAAATGGGAAAATACCACAGAGAAATGGGAAGAAAACCCAGGAAAATGGGAAAAAACCCTGGAAAAACAGGAAAAGAACCCGGAAAAATGGGAGAAAACCGTGGAAAAACGGGAAAAAAGCGCAGAAAATTTGGGGGAAAACGCAGAACATTTGGAAAAAAACCTGGAAAAATCTGCAGGAAAACGGGAGGAAAAAGCAGAAAATTGGGGGAAAATCCCGGAAAATCGGGGAAAATTCCGGGAAAAGGGCGACGAGGAGGAGGAGGAGGAGGAAGGGCCGGAATTCCAATAAAAAAAATAAAAATATTCCCGAAAAAATTCCCAAAAATCCGGCCCCAAAATGGGGTTGGGGGGGATTTTTTGGGGGAATTTGGAGGGTTTGGGAATTTTTGGAGAAGTTTTGGGGGGATTTGGGGAATTTTTGGGGGAATTTTGGGAATTTGGGGTCCCCAAAAGGGTCTGGGGGGGATTTTGGGGGGAATTTTGGGGGGATTTGAGGATTTTGGGGGTTTGAAGGATTTTTGGGGGGAATTTTGGGATTCCCAAAAGTGGCCGAGACCCCAAATTGGGGGGTGGGGGCGGCACCTGAAGGATTTTGGGGTTCCCGGGAATTTTTTGGGGTTCCTGGGAATTTTTGGGTTTCCCGGGGATTTTTTTGGGGTTCCCTGAAGGGATTTTGGGGTCCCTGAAGGGATTTTGGGGTTTCCCGGAGATTTCTTGGGATTCCTGAAGAAATGTTGGGGTTCCCGGTGATTTTTGGGGTTCCCTGGAATGTTTTGGGGTTCCTGAAGGATTTTTGGGGTCCCTGAAGGGATTTTGGGGTTCCTGAAGGATTTTTGGGGTCCCTGCCGGATTTTTGGGGTCCCTGAAGGGATTTTGGGGTTCCCGGGGATTTTTCGGGGTTCCTGAAGGATTTTTGGGGTTCCTGAAGGGATTTTGGGGTTCCTGAAGGATTTTTGGGGTCCCTGAAGGGATTTTGGGGTTCCCGGGGATTTTTCGGGGTTCCTGAAGGATTTTTGGGGTTCCTGAAGGGATTTTGGGGTCCCTGAAGGGATTTTGGGTTTCCCGGGGATTTTTTGGGGTCCCTGAAGGGATTTTGGGGTTCCTGCCGGATTTTTGGGGGTCCCGGTGATTTTGGGGTCCCGGGGGCGGTCCCGGGGTGGGGGCGGGGCCGTTCCCGCCCCTCCCCCCGCCCCGCCCCTCCCCCCCCGGAGCTTTAACGCGGCGGCGGCGGGAGCGGACCCGGGGGGGAACAGGTAGGAGGGGGGGGAGGGGGTCCCCAAATCCCCCCCGAGCCCCCCAAAATCCCCCCGCCCCTCCCCCACCCCCGGGACCCCCCCCCCGCCCC